ATGCACAGGTGGACTAGGGAGGTGCACTCCTAAGGGGACACACACACACACACACACACACAGATAAATTTTCTTCCCCTTTCCCTGTCCTTATCGTCTATCTTTCTTCCTGGGCCACTGCTTGTCGCCTCTGTCCTCTCAAGCAGGCTGCTGTGCACCCGCTCACTCTCCCACTCAAGATTAACGTCTGAGACGAATCATCTGCTATCTCTGCACAGAGTCCCAACAAAACAAAAGATGAGCGATTCCGCATATTGGAAGGGTGGGGAAATTAATTAGGAATGACAAGGGATCCACTCTGCAGCTCTACATTCTCTGCTGCTGACTTGCTGACTGCGGTTGTGGCCCCAGCAAGGTGCATGAGTGACAGACTTCTGGACACTGGTAGGGCCTTGTCCACTCTCAGCAGCCTCAGGCCATACTGCCTGCTACCTATCCACTTCCCTCAGCCTCTGGCTTCAGCATGCCAGTACCCAGGATATAGAGGGGACAGCTGACTTAAGTGTCTCCCATGGTAGGAGGTGATATCCCCAGTACATGGGAAAGCTACACTGTGCAGTTGAGATTCTGGGCTTGGGAGCTTTCATCCTATCCCTGTTTTGTTTTTCTGCTGCAAAAGGGGGTAACAGCCTGGCTGGGGTGTTAGGTAGGGGCTCTGAGGAGTGACTGAGGCTGGTGAGGACTGGCAGCTTCATCTGAGACACTAATGAGCTGTGGCTGTGGATGGCCCCTTGGGAGTGGCTTAGGAAAGCCTGTGTTAAGGCAGGCTGATGGGGACATTGTACAGATGAGTTGGCCTGGTAGAGGTGGGATCTAGCAGGCTTTTTAACAGCTCGCCAATGGCTGTCCCAGCCTCTAGGCTGGGAGGCGCCTAAGTAACTATTGTATTCTGAGCTGGCCAGGGGAAGGTGAGACAGGCAGCCTCAAGAGGAGGAAATAAGAATTAGCACTCCTGTGGCAGATATGGCTCTGCACCCCAACTTCTGTGTCTGTGGGAGCCATCGTGGCAGACACCTCCCTGGATAGGTGTGAAGACTGAAAGCCCCCTGAGCTGCCCCTCTGTGGTTCCTCCTCAGTGTTCAGGAGCACTGTCCTGCACTCTAGGCCTGGGAAAGGGGGCTTCAGCCAGGGGTCCCTCTACCTCAGCTGAACCCCAGGGAACATGCCCACACCAGGATTGAATGCCTGTCCTGGGGAAGCAGAAACAGAGCAGACTGCTTCAGCTGTTTGCTGTAGATGAGTGTTGGCAGCCCATCAGTATCTGGGAACCCAACCTCACGCTTCAGGGGGACCCCGTAATGATAGGCCATGAGGAGGTCATTTATATTGGCTAAGCGGGCCTAATTAGGCTTGATCTGAAGGTTAGCAGAAGCACACAGAAAAGCTGTTAAGGGGTTAACCTCAGAGAGATTACGTTGTATTCAGCGCTCTGTTAAAGTTTGAATTAATTTTTCCCATGGGTTTGCTCACATTCTAATTTTCAACTAAATGAGACATCTGTTTCAGAAAAGGAAAATTTGCTCTGGTTGTCATGGCAACTATCATTCTGTAAGAAAATTATTCCAATGGTTACTTTAGAACAGAAAGACAGAGATTCAGGACATAAAGCTGTCTTCGGCTCAGTCAGAATTCTGATGGGCCACCCATCAGATGGGCCTTGGATGGTGAGGCCAGTGGCAAGGGGAGGTGGCACCAGGCCCAGGTGTTAGGTTGTGATGGAAGCTGGTCCAAGGGCTCTTGGTCATCTCAGTGTCATGGCTTGAGCATTAGTGGGTGGTATTCCAAAGGCAGATGGCTGTGAGGGCCAGGGCTGTGTGTGTGTGTCCTTCGTGGGAAATACCATGCAGCCATACAGAGAGCTGGTCTCTGTGGTGTTCACAGTGCTAGGCTTCACTGGATACAGAGGGTCAGTGCACCTCCAAACAGCACCCCAGGAGGCTCCAGTGCAGACTTATATACACTGGAGATGGTCCCTCCTTAGTCTCCTGAGTCAGTAGCAACCCGTGGTTGCTGTGTCTGGGTTCTGGTAATCCAAAGACCTCGATAACTGGCACAAGCCACCCAGCCCTGCCCACCGCCCAGGGAAAACCCTTACTGGAACCACCTCAGAAATATTTTCCAGAAATTTCCCTGCAGGCTATGCCTCCCTCTGCTCCCCAATGCTAACGGTAGACAATGGCCTGTGTGCAGATATTCCCCTGAAGTCTCCAGCCATACTTTTGTCAGCCCCTCCTTCCTCCATTTTGCTCTCAGCAGGACACAGCAGCTGGCCTTAAGGGTCCAGCCTGGGAGAGGTGAAGAGCCAGTTTGGGGCAGATGCATGGTGACCCTGCTTGGATGACATTCCAACCTGTCAGAGAGGGACAGGCAACCCCCAGGCTTCCAAGAGCTGAGGTCCTGCTGACTGCTGCCCCTGAGTGTTGTGTGGTCCTGGAGTGTGGAATGGCTCCTCTGGGATTCCCATGAGAGTCAGTGTCCAGTTTTCCCTCCAGGACAAGACTCAGTGGTTCTGGGTGAGGGGAAGCGGCAGGCAGGGGTGGCCTGGGCTGGCTTCTGGGGTCCATGGGCTATCTGCTGTGCTTCTAAAAGCTACCCCCACAGCGGTTCAGAAAACTAACACTAACTGGGTACCTCTTCTCTGTAGGGACGAGGCCTTATCCTGCCCTGTAAATATTTGATTAGATTTTTGAAAACGGAATCCTGTGTTTGGAAGACAGCACCAGTCAGTCATACACTGTTTCCTGTTCTGGGTGCTGGCAGGGCGCTGAGTGGTTTTGAGGCTCCCGTGACCTTTTAGAACCCCACCTATCCCTTCAGCTACACAGTTCTGAGAGTCTGGACAGTGATTCAGAAATTGCATAGCCCTTGGGATCCATAGAGAGGGGCTGCTGGTGCCAGCCAGGGTCATGGCAGAAAAGGACCCTTACCTCATGACCACGCGTGTGACTTGTGTGTGTGTGTGTGTCTATGTATAACTCTACCAGCTGGAGTTCCCCTTCTTGCTCTTAGGTTCTCTGAGGTCTCCTATCCTGCTTCCCCTTTAGAAATGCTCTTGCCAGCCATCAAAAATGCAATTTAAAAACCCTCCCCTATATAAAGCTTCATACCCAGGCTTTGTGGGGGGCTTTTAGGGGCAGTCATGGTGATGGATTTGATGGCGATGATGGCAGTAGTAGAGTGATGGGGGAGTGATATTGGTGGTGATGTTAGTAATATGGCTTTAATGAGAAATGATGATGAAGGTGATGGTGGTGACGTAGCTGAGGATGATGGTGGAGGTGGAGATACTGGTGATGATTTGTGGAGGTAATGGTGGTGACGATGGTGGCGGTGGAGGTGGTAATATGGATGGAAATGGTGACAGAGATGGTCAAGATGAGGGGAAGGTGTAAGTAACAATGGCAAGGGCTATAGTGGAGCTGATGGTGGTGACAGGGACGGTGATGTGGGTGTGACAGGTAGTGGAGGTGATGGTATCGGAGGGGATGAGGATGGTGGTGTCACGGCAGAGCACTGAGTTCCCAGTGCTGAGCAGACAGTGCTGCCTCCATGTCTGAGAACTCCAGGCAGAGCTTTGGAGGAGCCGGGTGTTTGTCAGCCATGGTCAACCCAACTCTCTTAAAACTCACCCCTTGTTCAAGGTCACATGGGTGGCAAATGGTGGACCATTCTAACCTCAGTCAGTTTGACTCCAGGGTACCCTAGAAGCTGTGTGTAAAGTGTGTGTGTGTGCGTGCATGCATGAACATGTATGTGCATGTTGTGTGTGTGCGCGCGCACGTGTGTGCACGCATGTGCATGTGTGTCATTTTCTTTCAGAATACATAGCTTTCTACAGATGGACAGGAGCAGGTCTGAGGGAAGAGGCATCTGACAGGGCCACCTCTGCCCTGTGCTGCTCTTCTAATGGCCAATCCCAGTCTAACCACTGTCCCAGGCAGACACTGCCAGGTGTGGGGATCTTGTGGGACAGGTGGCCATTCTGTACCTGGCCTTGATCCCTAGTTCTCCTCTTATCTATCTTAGTGAGAATCATGACCTCCAGCCCAGGGACAGGGCCACCTCCTCCAGGGGAGGCTGTGGAACCCATTCCAATGAGCAGAGGAATCAGGCAGAGCCACAGCTACCTCTAAATTCCTGGGACTTAAGAGTCAGGACTGGGTGGGGGTGGCTGGTGTGTGCTGCCTGTCTCTGGCAAGCTTTCCTGGAGGCCGGTGTGATGAGGAGCCAGCCTCAGCTTTGAGGTGCTGGCTATGACTCAGGGTACTAGGTCTGTTTAGTGTCCTGATCACAGTGACAGAGCACAGTGTTCTAACCACAGTGGCCAGAGGGCCCTAGAACCATTCACACGGCATTTATCTGCCCTGGCACTGAGACAAAAGGACATTTGATCCCCAAGTGACCCAGGGTGACCACCCGCCCTTCATATGCCCAGGTCCAGCACTGCCGGCTTGTCCAGAACAGCAGATCTAGGTCTGAGAGTGACAGCTCCACTGGCCCTGTGTTGCCTGGGTACCTTCCCTTCCTCTGAAATACCCTGCAAAGACCTCAGTCTTCCATCTCAGAGTCTACGAGGACAGGGCTGGGAGTTCTTACATGGGGTTCTGTGGAACTCCCGGGAATCCTAAGTAGTCATATTGGTAGCTGCTCACAGTGTAAAGCCCTTGGATTCACAGCCAGTGATGTCAGCCATGTTGGGCAAGATTCAGGTGGCAACTTTGGGTACACGAGAGGCTGTGGGGGCCCAGGAGCCAGGCAGTGTGTGCTGGAAGGCAAATTAGAGGCTACTTGCACCTCCTGGCTGCTGCTGGGGTCTCCTCACCTTGGTCTGGCTCCCCTGACAGAAGCTGGTCACTGTTCTTTCAGACATTCCCATATTCATTCTGATTAACAGGTGCCCAGTTAGTCCTCATGGCTGCTTGGCCCTGAGACCTGTACCCTTCTCTCTGACTGTGCCAGACTCTTGAGACCCTCCCTAAAGTGCCCCTCTTCTCTCATAGGCAGCCCTGGTTCTATGGATGGGGATTCAACCTCCCGCGAGGTCAGGCATTGTTGGAGAAGTGGAATCTCATCCCGGAAGGTGTTGATATCCTCATAACTCATGGACCACCACTGGGTAAGATCTTTGGTCTCTGCTTTACCTGCCAAGGCTGGACTGGGAGCCTTGAGGATGGAGTGTCTTGTGTCTGGGGCTGTGCCAAAGAAGCCCTGGGTTGGTCAGCTAGGTCTAACTTGCTGGGGTGCCACCCTTACCTAGTTAATGTCCCCAGTGCTGTTGTTGCCATTGCCCAATGCTGCTGCTGCTGTTGCTCACCTGCTGCTACTTCTAGGACCCACTGGCTTCCTGCCTGGAACCCTACAACCTGCCCCATATGGTCCCTTCTCCTTCCCTTCTAACTTGCCTCCAGTTCTTTCCTCTTTTCTGATGATGCTATTGGCCACCCAGGATTGTGTCTTGACTACTGTGGCCTCCTCACTGCCCTCCAATGCTAGGCACCTGTTCCTACTCCACTTTCAGTGGAGGATGCCCTGAAGTTCAAGCCTCTGCTGGGACAGCACAAGATGTTGAACAGGCTTATGCCCCTCTCCCACAGGGCCCCCAGGCCAATGGGCCAAGTCCTTCTTTAGTTTAATCTGAGCTGTGTGGGTTCTGTGGCCTTTCTCCTCTTCCTATTTCCTGTTCTCTTCCCCTTCCTTCCCTTTCTTTTCTTCCCTCATTCCTAATATCTGCCTCTTCCTATCCTTCTACTCTTCTGATGTATCTATCCACCCACCCATCATCCATCCATCCATCTATCCATCCATCCATTCATCATCTATCCATCCATCCTCCATTCATCTATCCATCCTCCATCCACCTTCCATCCATTCTCTATTAGTTTATCATCCACCCTCCATTCATTTTATCAATCCATCCATTTGTCATCCTTCCTCTATTCAGCCATCCATCATGACCCATACTCAATCGTTATCTCTTATCATCTATCCATCTCCTATCATCTATTCCTCTATCCATCTGTCAATCATCCATTTACCTATCCATACACTCACCCACCTGTCCATTCATCCATTTCCCCAACTACATCCTTTGGCATTCTGCTTTCCAGATGCCCTGCCCCAGTCACATAGCACACTGCACACATTTTGGGAATGCCCATGTACCAAGTGTCCCAGCAGGTGCTAAGGTACCTCATTTCAGACTGTAGTTCCCAAGGCAGTTGGGTAACTACAGTTAGAAGGAAGTTAGACACCCCAAGCTCCAGCCCTGTCTTAGCCTGCTCTGTCACATAAGGATGAGCCTGTGTGATTCTGGTTCCTACAGCAGCACTTCTGACAGTTGGAGGAGCCAAGACACAGGAACATGAACCTGTCTGTGCAAGGTTTAGGAGCTGTAGAGACTAGGACCTAGCTCTAGCATGAAACCCAAACCACCCCATCACCCACTTGCCTGCATCTGTCTCCCTTCACTGCCCCTTCCTCTCCTCTTTCCTCTGCTGGGCTGTGTTTGTGTCTCAGCATCCCTCTCCTGGTGAAGCTTGCTGGCACACTGAGTTGAAGCTCTCCAACCCTTGCTGGCAGTTCCATAGCTTGCCTCACCCACCCAAACAGAGAGGGGCCGACAGCAACCTGATTGCTCACTCAAGTCATGTGTAGCCATGTAAGGATAATAAACATCCACCACATGGGACCACTCCGGGAGGCTGACGGCCAACAGTCACAGTGGGCACCATGAGAGCATGTCTCTGCCAAGGAAACTAGCTTCATGCTTCTGTGCACCCTTCACCCAATCTCATGTATCCCAGGCTGGCTTCAAACTTTTGATATAGCCAAGGATGACCTTGAACTCATGACATTTCTGCTTCCACCTTCCCTGTCCTGGGATCACAGCCATGTGCCATCACATCTACAGTGCCTCGGAGCTTCACACCTGGTAGACAAGTAGTCTACCAGCAGAGATACGCCACAGCTTCTGTGGGGTTTTGTAGAGCAAGTTTCTGAATTGGAAACCTCCCTCTGAGGCTGTGGAAGCTCTGCTCTGCTTCCAGCCACTGGAGTACCACGGACTCAGTTCTTCTCTGCAATGGGTGGCTACAAACAACCTTTGGGGCTACTGGAGCAGTCATGGGGTGACATCTGTAGTGGTTATATGCACCTGGGTCCAGGTGCCTGGCCTCCCTTGGCTCTTATGATGGAGTCATTCATCATAGCCCGCCCTGTCAACAAGGGGAGGTTGAGCCTCTAGGAGCTGCCATGTGACTGCGCTTCTTTCTAAGGGCAGACACAGGGCACGGTTCTGGAACTTGCTACATTGGGAGAGAGTAGGTATGCTGGGGCTGTAGCATAGGACTCCAGGTCTCTCCGAGTCTGTATTAACAGATGCCCACTATCCCTGTTAGTGACCTCATTGCCTTCCTGAACAGGCTTTCTTGACTGGGTCCCCAAGAAGATGCAGCGTGTGGGCTGCGTGGAGCTGCTCAACACAGTCCAGAGGCGAGTCCAGCCGCGGCTACATGTTTTTGGCCACATCCATGAAGGTGAGTAGGCAGGCAGAGAGGGAACCTCACAGTGGGGCACTTCTCACTGGCCCTTCTGAGGGCTTTCTTGCCTTCCTTAAGTTCTGCTCACTAGTTCCTTGCCTGACTTCTACAGCAAATAGCCCGTTTCTGTGGTCCATGTGTAGACTGCCTCACATGCTTGCTGCCTTGGTGAGTGTGAGATGCTGGCTGGCAGATGAATTCACTGGAGTGGCAGAGATGTCCACACTGTGGGCAGGTACCTCCCAGTCCTTACCACCTACACTGCCCTGCACACCCATCCATGCACACCAGCTTACCTTCTTAATCCTCAGGCATTCTTCCCATAGCCTAATCTCAACAACTGATGCACCACCCAGGGTGTGGGGGGTACTCTGCTGTTGTTCTCAGACATTTAACTCGCCTATCCCAGGCCTCACAGTCCAGTCTCTGACAGGAACCATGGTGGCTGTTTGAGGTGAGAAAGGGACTGACAAGACTTGTCCCAGGACTGTTTACTGGCCTGCTGACCCTGTCTGTGGTTGGATCATGACTCCTGGGCTTTCACATTGCCTACATGTAATAGTAAACAAACTCTAGCCATTTCCGGAGCATCTCTGTGGTGTCCCTGGCAGTCAGGATAACACAGCATACTTGTCTCTGGAGAAGCTCCCAGATTGCTGAGCAGCAGACAGGCAATCAAAGGCAGAGCACCGGAGCTTGTGGGGGCAGCTCATGAACCCTATAATAGTAGTTGTCTTCTTGGACCCTCTTGTGTGCACACAGGGTCAACATATGTAAGGTTGTCTATGGCCCAAACCATGCACCTACACATTTGTATAGGCAAAATGGAGCTCCACAGAAGAAAGGGGGAGAGAGTGTCCCTTCTGCTGTGAAGACAGTCTGAGCTAGAAGAGAGTTCAATAAGCAGAGGTGGCGGGGGAAGCTGTGTGATTGGAAGACAGGAATGTGACAATGATAACTGTGGTGATTGTGAGAACAACAGATGATGAGGCTCTCGGTGATGCTAGTGGGGACAAAGATGATAGTGGTAGTGACCCTGAAGATAGTGAGGATGGCAGTGATGTCATGACAGGGCAATTTTGGAAATGATGAGGGTGTTAGTGGCAGTGATAAAAGTATGGTGATTAAAAGAATGAGGGCGATAGTATCAATGGTGTTGATGACAATGGTCTTGAGGTGGTCGTGGTGTGATGGTGATGATAATGTGGATAGGGAAAGGGTTGAAGAGGAGAACATTCACTGTGAAAATTCTGATGTCATGGTGATAATGGCAGTACTGGGGACAGCAACAAAGATGGTAGTGATGCAGTCCAGGGGATAGTGCTGATAATGGTCATGGGAATGATGATGTCATGGGCATGGGGATAATGGCAGTGATGGGGTGGTGACAAAGATGGCTGTGGTGTTGATGATGATGACAGATGGTGTTGGTGATACTGTTGGTTTGGGAGATGATGTCATGGTAATGATGGCAGAGGTGGGGATGATGACAATGTTTATGATGATGATGATAATTTGCTGATTTTGGTGATGCTAATGGTGGTGGTCATGTCGGGATGATGGCAGTAATGGGATGGTGATGGTGGCTATGGTGACATGGTAATGCAGCCTATGGACACAGCATTTGAACACACCTGATCCCATCTGATGATACTGTGATGTTGGAGACCATGGGAATCAGGTGAATGATATGATGATGCTGACAATGGGCATAGGGAACAACACTGATGACCATGGTGATGATGCTGATTCTGAGGAAGATGACATGAGGATGATGACAGTAACTTACTTATTGTGTACTTTTCCTGTGACGAACACTGGCCTAAGAACTGCATATGGGTGGTGACCTCAGATGGTCCTCTTGGTAGGTTCAGAACCCTATTATCATTTCCATTTAACAGATATGGCCACCAATTTTGAGAGCTGTAGTAGTTTGCCTCAGATGTCCTTCCCACAGCCACTAACTAGATAGCTCCGGATCCTGGTCTGACAGGTTTATGCTTACTTTCCAGGGTATGGTGTCATGGCAGACGGGACCACCACCTATGTGAATGCATCCGTGTGCACTGTGAACTATCAGCCCGTGAATCCTCCCATAGTCATCGACCTCCCCACACCCCGGAACTCCTGACTGCTCCCCACTCCAGCTCTGCCTGCCCATGTCAGCTCCGTATGTCTGGCTGAGAGCCTGGATCCCCTAACCCACTTCCTCCCATGCAGAACAGCCCAGACAGTCCATCTGGCCATGGGACCAGCCAGCAATGAGTAGACTCCTTGGGATGAAAGAAATTGCCTTTGACTGTCAGCCTTCTGCCACCTGCAGCTGGGGCCTTGAGCAGTCCCATCGGGATAACATGCTCACTTCTGTTTTCTGTGTGTACATCTGTCCTTCATTTCAGGGCCTCACAGGCTCACAGCTCTGTTTTGCTCGGTAAAATGACATCAACATCACCACACTCAGTTCAACACTCTCCTACCTTGAGAAGCCGCTGCCCTTGGATGAGTTTGGGAAATTTTTATATAAAATGTCTTGCTACCCAAGTGCATCTGTGGCTGTGAGCCCCAAGGCTGGGGGGATGTGTGGCCTGGGCACAGACAGCCTTCCCTGGCAAGGAGATAGGCCTGCTTCTTGTATGCAGGGATCTTGGAGTATTCAGAGACATCTCAGGAATTCCCATAGCCCCTCTTCAGGCCTACAGCAGTTGGATTGGCTTACTCCCTCTTCTTTCTTAGAACCCTGCTGCTGACATGGACATGGCCGAGTGGCCCCAGCTTCTGCTCAGAGCCTGGATTTGGGGGGCTTGGTTCTTCTGGGTGGTCAGAGCCTGCTGGTTTCTTACTATGTGGAGGCCACCTTGGATCTCCTGGGACCACATGACTTTGTAGATCACAACATCCATGGGGTTCCGCAGGCTGAGGCCCTGTGCCTGATCACATACATGTCCAATGGGTGTGGCACGCGCCCCTCCAAATCTAACCTGGTTCTGTTAGTATCCACCATTCCTTGATGTGAGTTTCCCTTTGGAGGATTGTTTGCTGAGCTTGTCAGTACCACCGGTCACCGGGAGGTGGCGAAGGAACAGATCAGCCCTGGATGCTGATGGCAACACCATCTGGGGCTGCAGCCTTTCTTGGGTTAGGCCTCGGGAAGCCCATCTGCAGGGGACAGAGCAGCAGGCCCCGGGGTCAGGGGCAGGCAGGGTCAGAAGTTGTCTTTATTTAAAATGCTGATATTTGTTCTTTGTGGACTATTTTTGCACTCACTCTGATTCCTAGTAACACATCACAAAAATACTATTATTTGTCCTGACCCTTGCTGTTTTACAACTTCTATGAGATAAGGGCCTGGCTTCCTCGGCCTGGCCCAAGCCTTGGGGACCAGCTCTCCTGGTACCTTTTACTTCATATAACTTGGGTTTATCTACAGTCATTCCTGCAACATAGGTAGGCCCTCTAACACTGTTACAGAGATGAGACCACTGAGGTCAGAGAGATGAGGTCACCTGCCTGAGGATGCACAGCATGAAAGGAGCAGCAACAAGATTTGGACCTCATTCCTGGCCTCACAGCCCTCACTGTCACCACCACAGTTCTCTGCCTACGGGAAGCAGGGCGTGGGCCAAGACTGTTTAATTGTGAAGGGTCCTGCTCGAAACTGGCTCTCATTCATTCTCAGTTGATATTCCCTTAGACCATAAGGAATTCTGGGCTTTGAGCGCAGAACCCCAAGCATCCTGTGAGATCCACTCCCGAGTCTTTCCCTGCAGGTGAATGAGCCAGGCTCACGTGGCTCACTGTGGGTGAGGCTACTTTTCCAGGCCGCCTGTGGTACCCGACACTGGCCAGGACAGTGGTGCCCCACAGGCCACAGGGCTGCAGGAATCTTACTTAGGCCAAGTGGTTCTTGGTGTGTGGGGACATTTACAAGATCTCTCTTCTGTGCCTCAGATGCATGACATGTTTGGGGCAGAGGAAACACACCTCCTGTGTGCTGTCTCAGCAATGCAGTTTCTATAAATTTAAAGAAAAAGTTTTTCCTAGGGCATCTTCAGATTATGGCATATTTTTATGTGGAGAAGAAAAGCTGTGGAGGCAGCTATCTTTAAGAGAAAATTCATTGGAAGTCCTCAAGATTTGAAAGATGGCGGCCTGCTCCTCAATCATTTTGGCATAACTTGATTGTGGCTGTAATTTTTTGTCAAGCATGTCAGACAATAAAGTCTTTGTAAGAAGAAAAAGCTGAGTCTGCCTGGCTGTTCTTTTTGCAGGAGTCCTTGGGTTATGAGGGAGCATAGGGAGGAAGAACTCCAAATTCTAGAGGCTAAAGAGCCCCCTTCATGACTACACCCTCTGCTTTATCTCCACCTTCCGTGGGTGCAGGGGCTGCAGAGATGATATCATGGGTGGGCCTGTGCTTTATTGGATGTCTGGGCTTCTAAACAAAGCATTATGGTGTGGCCCAAGTGCTGGCTTGTACTAAAAGTGACATGGCCAGCAATCCCTAGGCAGACAAAAGGTTCACATATTGCCTAAGAAAAGCACTTCTGTCCTGGCTACAAGATTTCTGCCATTTATAGCCATCCATCTATCTGTAGTGCCTGTGGTACAATCTGTTGCACTAATCAGGTAAGGCCTAAAGATTTAAATAAAAGACAAGATAGTTCTCGGGCTTAGTTCCTCCCCAGCAGATGTGTGTTAGCAAATCAGACAGAGAACCAGTACAACTCTGGGGCAAGATGTTCCAGCCAACAGCTTCAGGCTTGCTCAAGGTGCCTCAGGGGTCCATGCAGGGCCATACATCTATCCAACTATTTATCTTCCCTCTGGGTCATACTTTCATATGTTTATCCATTTACTCACCCAGCAAGCTACCCATCCACCCACCATTCACCATCCATACACACACACACACACACACACACACACACACACACTCACACACACGTCCATCCATCCATTTATCCATCCTTCAGTCAGCCAGCTAACCATCTATCCATCCATAAAATTATCCACCTATCTATGTACCAACCAAACTATCATAAATCTCTATACTCATCTGACCATGTACTACCGATGAAACCATTAATTCACCTGACTCCCTTAGATATCCCTCCACTCATCCATCCATCCATCCATCCATCTATCCATCCATCCATCCATCCATCCATCTATCCACTCATCCATCCATCCATCCATCCATCCATCCATCCATCCATCCCTCCATCCATCCACCCACCACCCATCAAGTTATCCATTTGTCAATCCTTCCACCCATCCTATGTAACCCTCATCCAGCTCTTTATTGATACAGCCACAACCTTAGCACTTACTTCCCCAAGGGCCTGGCTTGGATCACAGAAATCCTGGTGGTGGCAGTAACAGATTTAGAAGGGAATTAGTAAAGGTAGATGAGGACAAAGGCCACAGAAAGCCAAGAATGGCAGTCGATGTGGGATGTTAGTCACTGAAAGGGAGTGTGAAAATAAGAAGGGGTGTAAGAAAAAAGCCTTATAGTCCTGTTTGGGTCTCCTGAGCAGGTGGTGACCTGGGGCCATGAGAGGAGGTTTTCTGTGGTCCAGTTGACAAATGACATGAAGAAGAAGCCTCTCTTGAGACACAATTGACATACTAAGCCATGGATTTGGGGCAGAAAAGATCTGAGGAATGGCCAAGGACAGACATGCAATAACAATCTCCCCATAAACCTTTCCTCTGACTGGTCCCCTGCCCAGGGCCTCAAGAGCCTGTAGCCTGTGACCTGCCCTGGGACCCTTAACTCTGAAGCCCTGTTCAGTCTGAGGAGGTGTCCCCAACTTCTGCCCATGCATTGGAGTCACAGTGGGGTTCCTGGGCAGGCACAGACTTCCCTCCAAGGCTGTTGCGTATGGTGTCATCACACAGCAGCTGCTTCAGTGTACCAGAGTCTCTGGGACCTCCCCCTCCATCCCCTCCCCCTCTCTTTCCCTCTCACCTTCCTTCCTTCTCACTTCACACATCAAGCAAGCACTCTACTACTGAGCTGTGCCCTCCTGCAGCCCTGTTGAGGCAGTAGCAAGGAGCCAGCCTACAAGAACTTGTCAGAGCAAATGGGTGTTTGGTCCTCCTCCCTCCACCTCTGAAGGCTGGAGTCACAGCTAACTCCCAGGCTCACAGACCTGGGGCCCAGAGCTCTGATTCTCTTGCTTGTACACATGTGCTTTAACCACCAAGCCCTCTCTCTGGCCTCTTGCTGATGATTTAAAATCTCTATATATTCTCTCCATCTCTGGGTTTGTCTTCCCAGTCCCATTCTCAGAGCAAATGTTGATTTTTATTAAGCTCAATTTGTCATTTCTGTTTCTTTCATTCCATTGTTCTTTGGATACTGTAATCATTTGCAACAGGTGTTTCCCAAAGTCTCATGGATTGACAGGTGGTCATCAACCTGTGGCTCTACTGGGAGGTGGGGCCTAGCAGGAGGAAGTTAGGTTACCACAGGTATATGGTCGAAGGGGGTATGTTGGGAGCTCAGCTACTCTCCTTCCTGGCTGCTACAAGGTGAGCAATCCTCTCTACCATATCTTCCTGTTTTGTGTATCAAACAGCCAAAAGCAACCAAGCCAATGGACTGTCCCCTCTGAGAAGCTGAGCCAAACTGAACCTTCCTTCCTTAGAAGTGTCCCATCTCAGGTATTTTATCACAGTGAGGAGAAGCTAAGGCAGGTGTTGCTTCCAAACTCAAGGCTGTGCAGATTTCCTTCATGTTTCGGTTCTGTTTCACACACCTGCACATTCTGGGCTCATTCTTACATGGTGTGAGGTGTGCCAAGGTTCATGTTCTGCACTCAGGTACTGTTCCTCCATGTGTTAGAATCAGCTGGGTGCATCTGTGTAGTGAGATACTCACTCTGCCCACACCTGTGGCACTGACCATTGGGGGTGGGGACAGGGGTGGATGTGACCTGGGGGAACTAGGTCTGAGGAAGGGGCCCCCAGAGTGTTCTCTTGCTTGTTGGTTTGTGACATTGGCAAAGGAAGTCAACCTTCTCATCTGGCACAGGCACTTTACTCTCATTAGGGTCAATAGTGCAGAATGGGAAGTTCTCTGCAGAGCTTGACTATTGGTTAATACATTAAAGAAGATCGACTTCCCAACACTTGGCAATCCTACAATTTTCAGTGAGGTTCCAAATCTTCTAGTGGTTGGGGGTGATTTAATTCCATCTTCTCCCTTTTTGAGGGGCATCATGCAAAGGGCTGACAATCACACCGGGTACCAGGACATTTCTGGGCTTCCCATTTTGCTCCATCTTTTGCTGACACCGTATCACTAATGTCTGTCTGTCTGTGTGTCTGTCTGTTATCTACTTATTTTAGCTTTTGAGGGAGAATACTCTAGCCCCCTTTATTTTCTACATACATTTTGGGCTAGTGAGATCCTGGCTGGGACTGTATAGAAAGCACTGCTCAAACTGTGCGGTGCTAGAGATTACTCAGTGGTTAAGGGCACTTGCTGCTTGTGCAGATGACCAGAGTTCAATTACCAGAACCTACACTGAGTGGTTCACTACCACCTGGAACTTGAGCTGCATAGGATTTGACTTCTTTCAGTCTTTGTAGGCACCTGCACACACGTGGCCCATGAACCCATATGCACACATACAATGATATAAATCTCAGGGGGAAAACCCAACTGTGAAGGTATGTCCACAACTCCGAGTCTACCAACCCAGGAGCACCTGCTTATCTCTGTACTGACTGTGATCTCTGGTTTTATTTTTAGTTTCATAGCCTGCCATTGTACAGGATGACCTGTTGGGTGTTTTTTTTTTTTTTTTTGTTGTTGTTTGTTTGTTTTGGTTTGTGTGTTCTACTGGAAGGGGCTGTCATAAGTGGTGGTGTTTTTAAAGTTCCATTTGGGTTGTGTATACTAACTGGAAATGCTAGTGACTTTTTGTTATAGAATATTATTTTAAGGTGTGTTACTTTTATGCTCTGGAACATTTGTTTAATGATGTAAAGATGTGTTTGATTAAATAAGATTCACCTGCGGTCAGGAGGGTGGCTCAGCAACTAGCTGATAGGAAGTTGTAGGGAGGAGCCAGGTGGAGAAGGGTTTATAAGGATGGGCAGAATTACTCTTGGGCGACTCAGGAGGTGAGCTGCTTGCTGTACATCCTTTCTGGGAAGCAGGATTTTTACCTCAACCTTTGAATCTTGAGTTCTTTAGCAGGACAGGTAATTTAAATAAGTTTCCTTAGTATTTTTGAAAGAGTCTGCGCCTCAGAGAACAGAATTCCCTCAGGCTTCAGCTCTTACAGCCTAGCCCCTGCTGGTATCGGTGGAGTAGCAGTTGCTGAATAGGATAGCCAGCTTACAAGGTAGCAAAAATTAAAGAAAAACACAACTTCTAATGACCTGGCGGCACGCTGCCCACTTAACTCTAAAAGCGTTTTTGGCTCTTAGGAATGTCTTGTACAGACAGTCATGCTGGTTCAATGCAACAATCTTGTTTCACTGTTTCAACTGCTGAGAGAAGTTTGCATGTGTGTGGGTACAAGTGTGCACAGGTGTGTGCTTACATGTGTATGAGTGCGCATTCGTGTGCACGTGTATATATGCATACACGTATGCACGTGTGTAGACCAGAGCTCATCCTCAGTCACTCTCCACCTTGTTTTTGAGACAGGGCCCCTCCCAAATCTGAAGCTCACCAAGCAGGTTGCCTGGCTGCCTGAGGAGCCCCAAGTGTTCCCATCTCCACCTCTCCCAGGGCTGAGATTCCGAGCATATGCCATCAAGCCCTACTTTTAAGTTTCCTTTGGGTATTGTGTGTGTCTATAGAGCTGTGTCCCTTGCTTTGGCAGGGTCTTTTGTGAGCTGTGGTGTTTCCACCATTCTCCTGTTAGCCCTCAACTTTGGCCATCTGGGGAGAGGTGGCTTCTAGGAAGAGGCATTCGGGTCTTTACCCTGACCCATGCAGGCGGTGGGCCTCTTCCCTCAGCTGATTCCACAGTTGTGCCTGGTAGGATGCATCTGGGTGTGAGTGTGACTCCACCTAGCCCTGTGTTCTTCTGATGTTGGGAGTCTTCAGCAGGCTTGTAGATATTCTCTTTCCTGGGTTCTCTGTCCTCTCATTTCCTGCCGGATAGCTCCCAGCCCCGTCTTCCATGTTCCCACGCACTGCCCACATGCCACCATGTCCAGTATTTCATTTGCCCACAAGTCCCATCATGTCACTGTGGTTTTCCTCTCTGCTGGAGTTTCCTATATAGCCATATTTGCTGTCTTCCTTTTCCATTGCCATTTACAAAACCTTCTGGTAGTTTCCAAAATCTGTGTCACATCTGATCCTCACGCTTGTCTCTGCAAAGTGTCATTTTTGGAACAGGGAATATTTTTGTTGAAAGCTGAGCATGTGTACCAATGGACTCCCACCCTTTCCCATACAAGGACAGGGAGTGAATGGTTGGGTCTTTGTGGGCCACCTCAAGTCCTGCCTTTTATTGTTGCCATCCTTTTCCTCAGCTCATAAACAGTGCCAGACAAGAGTGTCTCTGCCACAGGAAGACAGGGGTTGGCTGCGTTGCACGGAGAAGGGACAGCAGGTTCTGAGTTCAAGGCTGTGTGACAGTCAGTATGGAGAAGATGAAAGCCAAGGCACAGGATGGGATGAATGCCAATTTCTAGGCACATGTGTAAGCACCCACAACCCCTTCAGCCCACCCTCCACACTGGACTTCAATAGGTTATTCAACAAGAGCAGGGACTCTTTTGGTTTCTGGGGTTGGAATGGCATGTACCAGCTCTCCAAGAGCCCAGTGTCTCCTGGGCTATGTCAGTGAGGGACTCTCATACCAGGCATCTGGCTGACAGTACTGGGAGCTAGATGTGGCCAAGCTTAGAAAGTAGGTCTCCCTATGCCCAAAAAAAATCCAGCAGAGCTGATCCCTGGACCCAAGCTACCACCCAACTTGCAGCTTTGCTTTCTTCTTGAGAGAGGGATCCAGGGGCCAGACTAATCACCTTCACCAGGTGGGGGTGCAAAACAGGTCTCCACTCTCAGCCTACCAGCTGGACTTTGTACCTAGTGCCACTGTGAAGAGGGGAGGGACGGGGGTGCAGCCTGCATGGGAATGCTGGCCTCTCTAGTGGTCATGGGAGGGTCCCCAAGCAGGTGACCTTAGTTGGACCTTGGAAGGAGTGTGGGACTCAGCAGAAGAGGGCAGGGCCAGGGACGTTGTCCTAGTTTGCTACTACTATATAAACACCATGACCAAAACCAATTTGGGGAGTAATAGGTTTATTTCATCTTACAGCTTTCAGGTCACACTCCATCACTGAGGGATGCCAGGACAGGAACCTGAGGCAGGAGCTGATGCAAACCACAGTGGAACACTGCTTACTGGCTTGCTCCCCATGGTCTGCTCAGCCTCCTTTTCCTATGATTCAGGACCTCCTGCCCAGGGGTGACACTGCTCGCAGTGGCCTGGGCACTCCCATGTCATTAATCAAGAAAATACCCTACAGCCTTGCCTGGAGGCCAAGCTGATGGAGGGAATTTCCCAGTCGAGGTTCCTCTTCTCAGAGGTTCCTTTCCTAGCTTGTGTGTGCTAAGTTGGCAAAAAAAAAAAAAAAAAAAAAAAAAAGCCAGGAAGGACATGGCCATGGGGCTCCAACTGTCTTCTGATCTAAGACAGAAGTGGGTGGGCAGAAGAAGAAGCCTTGACCCTCGAATACTGGTGCAGGGACGGAGGATGGGAGGGGTTGCCCTGCAGTCAGTCATGAACAAACCCCCAAGAATCCCAAGCTTTCAAACATTTTATTAGTAAGTAGTTCTTTAAAGTCTCAAGAGTCGTTCCTGCAAAGACTATTTTATTTGCTCAAATGAGTGAGTGAGGACGCCTGAGGCCAGCTGCCGCCCTGTTGTCACCCAGAGAGGCCCCATGAGGTTGGAGCGAGAACCTACATCTCTGGAGCCTGATGCTGGGTAGGGTTAGGCTCTGAAGCCGCTTTGGGGAATTGACTGCAGCCCTCCATTGTCTGGTTTTGTTAGTCTTGGGGACAGACCCTGAGGCTCCATCTGTCCCCAGTGCATCCCCACCTGGATGCCTACTGCAGGAAGGCGCGCAGGAAGTCATTGTAGGAAATCTTGGATGATAGTGACTTGTCATAGTACTCGAGCACATGGAAGAACTCCTCCTCCGACAGGTTGATGCTGTACTGCCGCAGCACCTGAGGACCAGAAGGCCAATTAGCAGTGGTGGTAGCTGCCAGTAGAGTCTCATCCTTCATCCGCAGGTTCAGGGCATGGAGGAGCCCTAGCTGAGGATGCCAGGTGCCCACCACAATGGCAGGACCCAGGGCACCTTCTCTGAAGGGAAGGGGCATATCTTTCTCTTAATATCTGGGATGAGGTGGGCACTCCAGAGGTGGGGAAGGAAGCTGGGTGTTGAGGGTGGCAGGGCAACTGGATCCCTGACCCCCGACTGCTGTGCCTCTTGGGAAGTCCCACCTCTACCCTTCTATAGGGCAAGAGTGAGCCTTCCTCCTGGAGCCGCTATTGCCTTATTCACCCTTACAGCCCAGATAAATACTGCTAGAGTTATAGTTTCTCCTTTGAAGCTAATGCTACTATTTGTTTCTGAGAACAGAACACAGGCTAAAAGGCCCCAGGATTGAGGGCAGCTGGTGGCCGTTGGGCCTAATGGGAGAAAAGCAGAGGAGGAGGAAACTGAGGCCACACCCATGTGTCCCTCACCTCCAGCTCTGCTGAAGACATTCCCATCTTACCATCCTCTCTGCTTGCCACACCCTGGGTCCCTGGGAAGGGGAAGAGAACCCTAATCTTATTGTCTCCCATCCTAGATGGACTAAGTCCACAGACTCCCTGGCTGGGATGGTGTCTGGCCCTGGCATGCATGGGAAGCTGGAGCAGGACAGGAGTTGGGCTGTGGGTAGGATGCCGAGGGTAGCAGACTCAAAGTTATGTGGCACCCAGGATTGGCTGAAGCCAAATGGCACCACTCTACTGTGTACTGTGAGGTGAAGTGGGGCTCACTATGTGGGAGGCCTAGATCACATATACACTATTGAACTGTCCTGACAGTCCCAGGATCATGACAGGACACACAAGTAGGTCCCAGGCCTGCACAAGGGCCTAGCAGTAGCAGTAGTATGGTATTCAAAGGAAACAAAGGTACTGTGTGTGCATGTATGTGTGCACACAGACAGACACACGCACAAGCACACACATGCCCACACCCTGGAAGTTTCCAGAAACTTTAGGGAGTAGTCTATAAATAAGGGGCAAACAGGCCACAGTCTAGGCCTCCATGGGCATGTGCAGGGTCTCTCTTGAACTTCCCATGCTCCTGGCCTTTTGTGCATGGTACCTGCTCTGGGTCGACAGCCACAGAGAGAGCAGAGTCTCACCTTCCTGAAGTCAGCCACACTCAGGAGCCCTGACCCGTTCTCATCATAGGCCTTGAAGGTACGCCGCATGGGCCTCCAGCAGTGAACAATCTTGGGCTGGATCCGCAGCAAGGCTGAGTAAAAGGACTGTGTCTCCACACCAGCTTCTTTCTAAAATCAAGATAAGGGAAGCCGCTCTTGGGAACTGGGGTGGGCCTGATGGAGGCACAGCATTCTTCCTCCTCAGCTGATGGCCTGGCTCTGCTCTGAATCTCTGCAATGAGGGCTGTTCAGATCTACCCCTCAGGGGCACCGTGGGCTGTGGGAACACCTCAGAGGTCCCACAACCTGTGGTGGTGGTGGGGCTGCTTCCACCTCCAGTTCTCGGGGAACCTTGGGGCTGAGGGAGAGAACATGATCTTAGCTCTGACGCAATCAACAGCAGGTCCCATTTGCAAAGTCAGGGCCATTTCAAAGTTGTACAGAGATAAGACAAAGCTGAGGCCTTCTAGCAGGATCTTGTAATGAAGGGTATCTGGAAAGTGACAGGTGCGACCACATGTGGTAATGGGAGTATCACAGCACTGTGCTTATCCTTTAGGTGCTACGGGATGAAAACAGGATGTCTGAGTGTTTTAGCCCCAACACATGTCTGCACATCATGGAGGTGAACTATAGGCAAGAACATGAAGCAAGGCCCACGAAATCTTAGCCGCAACATGGCGCATGCTACCTAAAACAAACTAACGAGGTTACATTGCTTTCAGTTTGTATGTCACTTAGCACTTAACACCCCCAGTGCCCCAGAATTTGCTAGCTGACAATTTTTCCACCTGCCAGGGCCCTCTTTAACCTGGCTCATCCATACTGGTGCCCAACCCAGCCAATTGTGCCACTGCCTGTGGCCCATGCTGCCTCCCCATGCCACGCCTACCCCCCCCCCCCCACTGTTGAAGATTCTGAGCAAACTGAAACCTCCAGAGGAGCGCATCTCCCTTTGGGCTTCTGAGTTGAAGTTGAGGCACACAGTAGCCAGGATGGCACAGGGCTCCTCTGCCTTGGGGGTGACATGAGGCAGGGAAGGAGCCTTTCCAACTAAGGAAAGGGAACTATTCTGTACTCAATGGACTCCTGGGACAGGGGAGTCTAGTGGGTGTGTTCTGGGATAGTTGACAAGAGTCCAGTCTCCTTGTGTTGCTCAGAGCTCCCATCATGGCCCTCCAGACTCTCTAAGGTTGGGGAAAGTCTGAAGATACCCTCTATTCTAGACAAAAAGAGGCATCAATGTACTCATCCCCGTAGAAACCTGTCATCTACGTCTCATAGACCATTCTAGTTCATTTCTGGAAGGGGAAACAGGTCAGAGGAACAGAAAGAGACTGGGAGAGGCTTTTCAGGGTACAAGAGCCCCCAGGAGAATCCAAAGAGGACTGGAACAGCATCTCCAACCACCCCCCCAGGGCTGGGCTATCTTGTGGTATATTTGGCTTTGCCTCTGACTGGCTCCTACAGGTAAGTGGCATTGGATACTGGATCTCACCTAGAAAATGTGAGCTTCCTGTATGGTTTTAGGATGGATCATTTGTTCCAGTCCCTCTGATGGCTGCCCAGGTGGTTGTGTGGGCGAGATGAGGTCATCAGCCCCCCACTATAACGAGATTGGAACTGGATTTGCTTGCTCCCAGGCCTTGTGTGAGAGACTCTTTTGTAGTACTGTGTTCCGGAGAAATGTGAGCAAGGTTAGGATAGGATGGCTTAGGAAAGAACTAGATGCAGTTTTAATGACTATTTCACAGCTTAGAATGAAAGGGGAGAGCCAGGGATGCTCCCCCAATTGGGTCTTAGTGTTTACCATCTTCTGATGTCACAGCTGAGTATTGGTGGTAAAGCAGGAAGACTGCAAGGAATATCAGGCCAGCCTGAGTTACATGTGAGACCCTGTCTCCAAAAGCTTTGCTCCACCAACAAAGAGAAAAGGCAAGCAAGAATATTATAAAGGAATGACAACCCCAGAGGATGAGCAGTGGTGGTGGGGTGGGCTGTCAGAGAGCTGCTCAAGCCTCACTCACACTCAAGCCCAGGCTCCACCCCTAGCCTGCACATTCACATCCAAGTTCTGAAGGTTTAATTTGGCTGTGAGCCCTGCCCCCCCCCCATGCCCACTTTGCCTTTTAACTCTCATGGTACTCTGAGGGGAGGAAGCACAGGCCTATGCCAAGAAAGACCATTGTGGGTAGATGGCTCCCACCAAAAGATTTTCAGGCTCTAGCCGCAAGGCTGTACCTCTACACTTGGCCCTCACATGCAGAAGCAGAGAGATTTCTTTACAATATTTTTAAAGAAATTAAGCTTCTATGACTTTTTTAATGTCACAGATCTGATGTCCCCCAAGTCTCATCTTTACCCCCTTTTCCCCTACCTGCAGGAACACACCTTGGCACACAGACCCCACTATCTTAGCTGACCTGGCGGCCACCTTCCACTGTCCTGGCCTTCAGGTAGTCGGGGAATGAAGGAGCAGAGCCTTACTCTCAGTACAGATCCCAGGTAGCCAGAGATCCAAGGGACATTTGTGGGGAGAGGGCAGTGACACTGGGGACCTCTGTCAGGGGAGGGCCAGGCTCTCTGACCAGAAGTCCTTGAGGATCCTGTGTGACCAGGTCCGCCTGTGCTGACAAGTGAGGGGTGCCTGGTTCAGGACCCCATGGTCTCCAGGACAACACACCTACCATCTTGTCCGCATTCTGGATCCTCATCCTCCGCATCAATGAGGTCTCCTTGGCCTTTAGCAGGAGAACGCAGCTCTGAATGAAGTCACAGTAGGCGAACTTGCCATTGTTCTTCAGGTCATACTTGACAATGAGCTGCTGGCTCTCCTCCTTGCTTATGTCCAGCTTGAACTTCTCCACGAGAGCTGAGGACCAAGAGCCCGCAGTGCAGTTGGTGGGGATTCATGAATTCTTGCCCTCATTTAGCCACCTGCGGGTGGGCTCCTCCCACCCCGCACACCCCAGAGCTGGCAGGCCTGACCCATCTCTCCCCAGGGGTGGAATCAAACGGACCCAGGAATTCTGCTGCAGTAACGCTCCCTTGCTTGTCACTGTCCTTCTCCTTGCATTCCTTCAGGAGCTCGCGCCAGCAGCCCTGGATTTGCTTGCGGAGCTTGCTCTCGATGGGCTCACAGTTCTGCAGGGGTGGGGTGCCCACTGGAGTCTGTGGGGATGGAGAGAGAGAGTACCTCAACTGGAGGTCTCATGGGGGCAGTCATGGGAACCACAGAGTGACCTGGGGTCTGGAGATCAGCTCTGTAGGTGCCAGGAATGGACAGGACCTTATTTCTGCCAGTGAGCCATCTGAAGCCAACCCATAATAAGCAGAAGAGCTTTAGAAATAAATGCACAGCCATATTTTAGAGGGCAGCCCTTCTTGCCCTTCCTAACCTCCAGGAACTCGCTGCATTCCTTGGCTTGGGGTCCCCTTCCACGCTCAAGGCCAGCCTTTCCTGGGCCTAGCTTCTTAAGGCTACACTTATTTTTCCAGACTCCCCATTTAAAGCCCCTGTGCATTTCTGGCCATCTCTCTGTCTAGATCTCAACAGGCCAGCAACCAAGTGCCCCTCCCAATGTGGGGTGATAGGAGGTGGCTAGCCTTAAGGTGTTTCTGACCACTGTTCTATACCTCCTCTAATTCACTAAAGACCACATTCACTCGGCTGTCTGTGCCACCATAACCCCCTTGAGCGGGACCTTTGCCTATTTTGAGGCATAACAAACATCCAGTGCATAGTAGGTATACAGAAAACAGTGCTGAGTGTTATGAGCACATGATAGGCACTGTGTCTAGGGCCATCCTATTTCTGTGCACATGGTCTAAGCACACAGCATTGGCCTTGTGGGCAGGTGTAGTAAGGCCTCAGTTGCCTGTCCCTGGAGACACTGTCATTCTGTTCAAGGGCAAGGGAGGCACCCCCAGGAGTTTCCCTCCTGGCAAGCCTGGGATGACAGCCAAGGGCTTGGCGTCACACTGAGGACCGAGGCCCAGGAAAAAAACTGTAGGCTTTGCCTGGCTCTGGTGTAAACTGAGAACACATTCATTCGTGCAGGTGGTGCCCAAGGTCAGGCGATTATCCCTCTCAGAGCCAGGCTTCTTGCCCCATGGATGCTGTGCCCTACTCCCTCCTCTTCCTCCCCTTCTGGCCTTCTCTAGGGTTCTCTTTCCACCCTGCCCTGCCCCCTGCCAGAAACGGACACTAGAGCTCCCCCTAGCCTCCTGAGCGTGTGCGCACACACACTCATGAGCCAGTCTCTCAGTGACCTGCCTGGAGGTGACATGGGGCATGCTGGAAACTCACACAGGGGTGACTCCGGGATTTCAACCCCGCCCTGGGGTCCCGAGAAGGAGAGCAGAGGTTGGATCTGATTCCCTGGGAGACCTCAGGGGCACTGCTTCCCCTCTGGGCGACAGTGGAGTCTCCAGAGTCGCCAGCAGCCATGGGTGGTGAGGGTGCTCTCTCAGTGCTGAACCTGCTGAGGAAGTCCTGGTACTTGAGCCTCCCCTTGGCGTTGACGGGCATCTCGCTCCACAGCCTGTCAAACTAAGAGCAGCAAGTCAGTCCCAGGGGGATGTGAACCCAGTTGGGGTCTCTCAGGGTCCTGGAGGAGTGGGGCTAGAGGTGACAGGAAGTGACTGTGAACCATGGTTCATGTCAATTAAAAAAAAAATTAAGGACAACAATCCATTTGGTTTCTGCAGGATGGAAGACTGGGTGGGGGGCAAGACAAGAGGATTATTCATGGCTTCCGCAGGACATTTTTTAATTGAATTGGGCCCTCGGTGAGCAGTTTAAGGCCATTAAATCTTGTGATTAGTCACAGTGACCGAGCTGTGGCGCATAAAAACATTTTAGGAGAAAATGCAAATCAAACCAGGCCCCCACCTCCATCCCAGGGAAGCTACCAGCCTCATTTCTCAGCCATCCCTGCATACCTGAGTGGCGGCAGCTCACAGGTGCTACCACCCCAACTACTGCCATCACATCTGCAATTTATTTCACCCCAAAGGTAAGAAATGTCCCTCTTGCAAGATTAAAAGGAAGCATTTGGAATCTGGGGAGAAGTTTATGGCTTTGTATGGTGGCTGTCTGATGCCACAGACCGTATGGAAACTATGCACAGCACAGGACCAAGCGGCAGGCGGCTTCCCACATGAGATGATTTTGATGGCTACAGGGCTTTCAGGGAGCCAAGAAGAAGGGCTCTTGTCCCCCCTACGACTGTTTGCAAAAAAACCCCACAGCTGTTAGCTTCCCAAGCAACAGAGGCCAGGAGGATAGACGGGGGACAGTTGCCTGTTTCCCTTGCAGTCTAGGGGTCACAAGAAACATAGTTTGCTCCTGTGTTTCTCCTGGAGTTTATCCACAGCCAATGACTTAAAGTAACTAACTTTTAGGCTCCATTTTAAGTCCCCAAAGGCTTGTGAGCTGCCATACCAGCCTAATCCTGGGGTTAGACATGTGGGTGCCTCTCTGGGATTTCAGTTAGGGCATCTTAGATTTCCACCACCCTGACCTGTGAGTCTGAAGGCAAGCAGCTCCTATGTGTGGGGTTTACAAACAGGCATGTATACCAAGCATATTCCCCACAGGTGGGTGCCTGGATCTGGGAGGATTGGCAATCATTGAGAAAAACAACCCATGATGGGTAACATGACTTCACATAGCTGATGAGCTTGGAGGTGGGCTAGCCCAGGGCTTCTCCAGCTCTAGCAAGCAGAATCTCCCCAGAAGTCTGCTAAGCCCTGCCCATGGAATTTTGATTCAACTTCAGAACCTACAGGAAGAGTAAAAGAATATATTGGAAATGTACAGGATTCTGCCAAAAAGCAAGTGAAGTGGTCCAACTCACACCTGGGAGGCTAACAGGTCCCCAGTGTTCCACCAAACAGCCTCCACTCCAGGCTAGCTCTGGTCTCCAGACCCAGCCAGCATAAGTCTCACCGTGTCTGTACATATGGCCACCACACCCTCATCTGCCAACCAGGATGTTCATTTTCCCAAGCTATTTGACTTCAGGCCTTTCTTTTGTAACCCTCCCCCATCCCTACTCTTCCATGGTGCTCTGAGGAACTCTCTCCATCACCACAAAACCCACGAACCCTTTACTATAATACTCCCCTCACTTGGTCTGGAGGTGCTTCCTGCCTTTGACAAAGCAGAGGAGAAAAGAAGCCTGACTTAAGCGAACTCAGCTCAGAGTTATAAGGACCAGCACACTGGTGGCTATATTCTGCACAGGCAAATGGAATTGTTTTGTCAGCATCCAAATTGTGATACGTTGCTCCTGGAATATGGTAGGGTAATAATGTTCCTTGTGCATGCATCTGCAGGATCTATGACATCTAATGTGAATAGAGATGTGGCATATGAGGTGAGGCATAGGGTCACTGGAGATCTATCAGATTCAAGAGGGGAGAGACTGAATTGGATCCTTCTTCTCTTCCCAGAATACTTCTTATGGACCCCTTCAGTCATCAAGGGAGTACCCCTCAGCATTGGTAAAACACATAACCTTGGGACAGAGGTTACAGATGTAGCTTATTTTCCTGTCCCCAAGCCAATCCCTATTCTATTTCAGAACATGGCACCCTGCCCAACTGGCCAAGTGTTAAGTGATGAGCTTATTCTTGAAAGCAGCTTGGGGGTGTCTTTTTTAAAATGTAGAGAAAACCAAGTAAAGTGACAGTCAGGGAAAATATACAGAATACCAGGAAAGCTGTTTAGCCAGAGAACTGTTTTCTCCCCATTTTGTTTTGTTTTTACTCAATGACAGAATTTTTAGTTTTACTCCTTATAGCAAAAGGAGAAAAGAAAATCCCAGCAATCAAAAGGTCAAGGCTCCATCCCCCTGTTGTCGGTGATTTGTTTTTCTGATAGGTTGAAAATTGCATAATAAACTTGATAATGTCAAAAAATAAAAGACACATCCTTAAACTCCCTCTGAACCCAACTCTGCCCCTGAGAATGATGGGGGTCTCTGAACTCCCACAGCTCTTTGCATCAGGTACAGAGCTGGCCAAGGCCTTCTAGCATGGAGACATGCAGCAGCAACATCTCACAGGCTCTGGCTTTCTCTTTACCATGTTTTCCGTTGTCATCTTAGGTCAATGCATTCCTAAAGACAAGTGGTGTGCCCTGTAAATCCAGACTCTTGGTGGAGTTTCTATTGCTGTGATAAAGCTTCATGACCACTCTCCAATGTTGGGCTTTAGGGGTGACTCAAAAGGTCACCCCTAAAGGCAGCATGACGACTGTGATGCCCCTGGAATCTCATCTTCAAACAACATTCTCTTGTCCTCATCCCCTCCCCTCCTGTTTCCACATTCTCCTTGAAACCATCTGCATGCCCACCTCCCCTTTGTTCTGCTGTGTTCTTCATCTGGCCCCAGGTGCTCACTCCACCTCTCCCTGCAAAGCCTATTTCATAACTAAATACAACAGCATAACAGTTCCCAGATAAACTCAGCCTACTAATGGCATTCAAAGAAATAAAATCACCACATATGAAGGAGTAAGCCAAGGCTGACTCTGCCTTCAGATATAAGAACTGTCAGTGACCAAGCAATAGCACTAACCATGAGAAAGACACAATTGGCATACATTTGAAATGAGGGGAAAATAAAATTCCTTGAAATAAAAAATGCAATCATTGAAAAAATTTCATTAACAGATCACAAAAAAAGGCCATACTTAGAAGAAAAAAAAAATGAGCAGAAGAAAGGGTTGTTAAGATGTAAGGGTAACAGACATTGATTGACTAGGAAAATATGTAGTTTTTGACAAATAGGCTATAAAAAGGATTTTAAAGAGCTCAATCCAAATTATGCCAAGAAAATACACTTTCGAACAATGTAAAGGAAATTAGTATGGCAGGAAGCTTAATATTGATAATGGAAATAAATGGAGACAACAGCAACAACAATAAATGTAAATGAGTCAAACACCCATGTAAAACGGCAGGGATCACTAGAGAGGCTGTTTAAGAAACCATTTATATGCTATTTGTAAAGCCTACACACAAAACAAATACCACGGGTGTCAACGATTTGAAGTAGTTTAAATAGGTTTACTAAGCAGACACTAAATGAAAGAGGCCCAGGGTCATGCTACTATCACATTAAATAGACTTTAAGATTAAAAGCTGTTTTCTTAGAACTTGATACATCTAACACCGAGTTGCAAGTATCTACATTTCTCAGCTACTCATGGGCCAAGCTAAAAGAGAACAGAGATTCTGAGGCTAGAAGTAACAGCTGGTTTTAATCAGCAGGTGTAGAACGCTTCATAATGCTCCATTCAAAACATACCATCTAGCTACAAATGAAACATAAAGAATGACCACACATCCAATCTCAGATAATTCTAATAACTGATAAGACCCAGTTCCATTCTCTAATTAAAATCATGTTCATTTATAAGTTAATAACTCTTTAAAAACACATTCATTCAGGAACAAAAAAACACCCGTATTTCTAAATCAAAGAACCCAAGATGGGAATAAGAGACTAGGAGCTCCATTATAATTTTACAACTATGTATCAAAATTTGGATGCAGCTAAAGTAGTAATTAGACAGAAATGTACAGTTTTAAGAGCCTATTATGGAAGGAAGAACAGCTGAAATCCAAAGCCTGCATCCAACCTATGCCAAAGCAGAGGGAACAAGAGAGAGGCTGTCAATACAGCAGGAATCCTGGAGAGCTTAAAGCTGATCCTCAGAAAGACTGAGAGAGCACACAGGGCTGTAGTATGAAGACAGGGGTAGCCAAGTGCTGCATGCTCCAGTTGTGTGGACATAGATTCTATGGTGAGTCTGTGTATGCCAATCAGAAAAGTGAGACTCATGTAAAAACATGAGCCACAAGAATGGATAAGCCTGGGTGGCCCGGTAGCCATCAGAAAACCATAGTGGCAGTTAAAACCCCCCTAATTTAAAACTCTGTGCCCACAGAAAGCTTTACCAACATTTAATTTCAAGCAGCTTGCAGCCCAGTTCTGCCCAGACCCCTCTGGCAAAACAAGGAAGCACATAATCCTAGACTCTACTTACACAGCTGGTGTACTCGATTCAAACAAAACACAAACATGAGAAAGTACAGATTGGCATCACAAACAACACAACTGGCTTTTTTTTTTTCAAGTTTAAAGGGGAGAAGGGAGGGCAAGAATGTGGGTACATATTTGTATGTGCACCATGGGAATCTGCCAAGGCCAGAAGAGGGCATTGGATTTTCTAGAACTGTCATTATAGGCAGTTATAAAGGTCAGAACCCAAGTCTTCTGCAAGAGAAGCCAGTGTTCCTAACCACTGAGTCATCTCTCCAGCCATGGAAATACTTTCAACACACCCTGACCAAACTGTGCTTACAATAGAAGTATATGTTTGCTTTAGTATCACACTGCTTATCAGCACAACTCCATGCATTGAGAAACTGAATAACAAGAACTAGATGCCTATCTTGATACATGTATACATTCAGGAGAAGCATTTGATACAATCAGTACCCAGCCATGGTTGCTGGGCTTTAGAAAAATAGGCATACAAAGAACTTAACAATTGATCAAGAGCTCCTGACATTTGATATATCAAAGTGTCTCTAGGGAAAATAGATTTAACCTCGGAACACTGAAGCATTCCTGTTCAATCAAGGCTAGAACAGGGAAGCCATTGTCACCGCTCTGTTTAGAGGGACTGTGGGATCTAGGCATTGCTACAAAGCAAGAAAAAAGAGTAACAGGCATATAGGCAGAAAGAACACCTGCTTGCTGTTCAGAACTGGCCTGAGGCATCAGCTCAGGGAATGGGCTGACAACTTAACTGAAAAACTTAACTGAAGGTATGAAGTTATAAGTGTTTCCTTACAATGAAACAAAACAGACCTTAAAGACACAGAGGATCCCACACAGTAACAATAGAACAGAATGAAAAGTAGCAGAGACCTACAGGAAGAGAGGGAGTCTGGGTCAGTAGACAGGAAGCTCAATTGGTGCAATCCAATAAGTGTCACAGGTTCCCCTCCTCCCACCCCCTGGAAGCAGGAACTCATGAAGCCACACTGGCAGTGGGCTCATGATGCCCCTGTCTCCGAATGGGTATTACAGTATGCACTGCCACCTGACTTCCAGGGAAGCTGATGTGATGGCCCTGAAACACTCACAGAAAGCTGAGAATGTGGCAGACACTCCTGGCCTGACAGAGCCATAGAGACCCTGGTGCTGGTTATTTACAATCTGCTGGAGAAAAATGGACTTAGAACAGACCTCTGGGAGGGAATGGCTGACAGACAGCACTGGGACTGAGATGAGGGAGGACCACAGAGTCCCCAGGACTGTGGAGCCCCACTTCACATAGTGGACAAAACAGGTGCTGCCTGCATGGCAAGAATAGAAAGTGAAAATTTCAGAGAGTACCAGCTGATGTTCCTTGGGCAAAGTGAGGATGGCTCGACCACAGTCCAGAGTAGAGCCAAGAGTGAGCTGTGCATGCAGGGTCCACCCAACTGCAGTGATGTACTGTATAAAAGAACACCTGCACTCATACACATGCATAGTGTGTGCACACATATGTGCAGATACATATTCACGTACATATGTGACACACTAGCACACTCATGCATATACACATAAATGCACACAAATCACATCCAGCATCTCCCCATCTTCTCCCCAATTTCACAATGTAGTTGCATGGTCTTTTTGCTACCCCGGCCTATATCCCAGACTTATCATCTGTTGCCCCAAGCTCCACCTGCCCCTGGCACCCTCAGCCTGTATCTTGGGTTCTTTGCCATGTTCTGTCCACACTCACCTTGCCCATCCTCCAGCTTCCCTCTGCCTTGGGCACCTACCTCTACAGCTCCATGTGGGCAGCTCACATTGAACCTGTTTGCTCCATCTTGCCCAACACCTGGCTTTATTGCCACTCATAGTGAACACAGCCACACTCTCACAGTGAGCACCGTGGCATGTCCCGTGGGATTCAGCTCTGACACCCTCAGCACCTCTTCTTGTCCCCTCTCACAAATGGTTCACCCCTGGTCCCCTGCTCATCATCTATCTCCACACAGCAGCCAGAGGGGCTCTGTTTAAAGCCACTGATCAGATCAACTGGCATAGGGCAGATGCAGCCCTCTTTCACCCCTGAGTAAAGACAAAATGCTCCCCACTTGGATCCTGTCCTACCGGACAGACTACTGGATTGGGCTCATCCCCCTCAAAGCACTGGTCATCTGCCAATGGTCCAACCCCATCACAGCTCTCTTCATTCATGTCCCTTCTGCTTCCAGCTAACCCTACATAGTAGCCAGGTCTTCCCTTTGAGGATACCTCTTCAGGGAGCCTCCTCAACCCTACTAGTTACAAGCATGTTTCCTACCCCCTGTCTGTACCCTTTTCCTGCCATGAAAGAAATATACAGCATCATCACTGGCTAAGACACTGTCTATTCTACTTAGTTATGTTTACTGTCTAAAAGTTCTCCGAGAATGCAGACCTTCCAGGGCAGCAGGCTGCTGGCAGCAGCAGTAAAACCTGTGGTTCCTGGTTCGCACTGTTCCTGTCTGCACTGCTCTCTGTCTCTGTGGGCCTGCATTCTGTTTTCAGGGAGACCATAGACCTCTGCAGGTGCCTGGCCATAGCATCTCAGCTCCTTCCCAACACAGCAAGGCCTGCTCTCCTTCACAAGCTCTGCTCCACTGGCCTCTGATGTCCCTCCTCTGCAGTGATGATTAATCTTGTCATCTACCATCACCTAGGAGATTAACCTCACATGTCTGTGTAGAGGTTTCTTGGTTAGAGTGATTAAAGGAGAGAAGACACATCCTAAATGTGAGTGACCATTTGATGGGCTGGGTTCCTGGGCTGAATAAAAAGTAGGAAGTGACAGCAGTTACCTCATTTTATTTCCTGACTGAGCACACAACATAGCTGGCTGCCTCAAGCCTCTGTTGTCATGCATTCCCCATCATCAGAGCCTGCACCTTCAAACTGTGAGCCAAAATAAACCCTCCCTTCCTCACAGTGCTTCTGTCAGGTACACAGCAATTGGTGTAAAATTCCTCTGTTGACAGCCACTCAATGCATGAGTGGGCTCTGCTGCCTCTGGGCATTTGCTGCACATCAAGATGGGTGTCTATGATCCTAGGAACCATCTCAGAGGCTAAGGCTGGACTCAGGAGACCAGAAACATGGGAGCTGGGAAGATGGAGGGGGCTGGATGGGCCACGTGGGACATGGATAAGTCTGCCAAGTGGGGCTGGGAATCTGGAATCTGCTTACTATCTGGAAGGAGGCATAGGCAGTGAGAGATGCAGGGGCCAGGCTCTGGAAGAGGCAGAGAAGGTATCTGGATAGAAGGAAGGATGCTATGCCGGCCTGTGGTTTGGCAGGGGGGGAGTCAGGGGAAAAACACATAGATGCCAACTGACTTATCTGAGTCACATAGCTAGACAGGTGCACAGCTTGTACAAGCATAGACGTCTGAATTGTTTTATTACCTACAAGCATACTTCTCACCTGCTAGAGGTGCCTGCTTTGGGGGTAAAATCACATCTAAATGTTCAGAGATACCCCTTCCTGATAAAGCTGTTCTCTTTCTCTGGAAGGTTGATTTTACTCACAGGGTTCCAAGCCGCCTCCCTTCCACCACTCACAGAGCTCTGAAAATCAGGAAAGCTGGACTCTTTTGAGTGTAAAACAATGCAGGTGAGCCAGGTCATGGAGACAAGATGGCAGTTAAATGGTACTTAGTACTCTGGCACCATCCCCAGCACTCCTGGCACAGCATGCTGCCCCCGGGTGCAGCAGAGAGAGGGAAAGTCCTGTTAATCATACCAGTGAACGGTGATCACAGATGCAGGAGATTGGGAGCTGGGGCTGATTTTAACAGCAAAAGGGACAGGAAGCTCACTCTAACTGAAGGGTGTGGATCACAGCTGTTAGAGCACCAGCCACTCCTGTGAATCTCTGTATGGTTTACCACAAAATAGGACCTCAGCATAGCCCAGGCAGGCACTCCCAGGACTGGGGAGGCCAAAGCAGGAAGTTTAAGGTCAGTCTTGTTTAAGTTCCAGGTTATTAGGGACTATAGTCTGAGAGCTCATTAAAGAGGAAGGTAGCGAAGGAAAAGGGGGTGGGGGAGGGGAAGGGAGTAGGAAAAAGGAGGAAGTGGAAGAAGGGGAGAGGTGAAAAAGAGGAGGGAGGAGGGAGGAGGAGGAGGGAGAAAAGGACAAGTGGGTGGGGGTGGAAAATTAAACACTTAAAAAGTAGAGTGCGGTGGAGAACTCTCTGCTTGGGGTGGGCAGCCAGGGTCCTACCTGCTCGTCGGTCAGGATCTGCACATGGCGGGTGCAGACAGATCTGAACTCATCTCTGGAGACTGTGTTGCTTTTCGTGGTGTCGAAGTTCTCAAACTCCTGGGCGATGGTGTGATAATGGGAAGTCACTGCCTTGTGCACTCGTGCCAAGATGTCTCTGTTGGCCATTTCTTTGGGAGATGTGGGGGGTGGGACCTTGGGCATCTTCTCTGCCCACTCATCAGCAGTCTGCACACAACAGAATGCAAATTGATCCACTGAGTAAACGGTAGACACCTCTTGTCTCTGGGTGCAGGGAGGCATAGCTTAATAGGATAGAGAAGAACAGATGTGTTGTGATTTCTAATGACAGGTCAGCCCAGCTGTGTGGAAGCCTGGGCTCACTTGCCATGAAAATGGTTCCCTGGGGGGCACTCTGCCCTTGGAAGGTGGGTTGCAGAACACTGAGAAGCCCCAGGGAGGGTGCACCATATACTCTCTCCTGTTTCTTCCTGATGGGTGTCTTTGGGTTCATTTAACACAAGGGCTGGGGAGATGGTTCAGTTGGTAAAGTGCCAGCCACATTAGGTTAGCAGGACTTCTGGATCCCCAGAAGCCGGCAGGGACAACTAGAGCTGTCCCAGATTCTGGGGAGAGAGATGCGCAACCTTGGCCAGGATCGGAGACTTCCTGGACCGAGGCAGGAGGAGCTTTATAACTATGAGTGGGCAAAGGGCTTGCAGATGGGGAGACCGAGGAGGCCTAAACCCCACCCCTTCAGGGTTTGGTATTTCACTAGGGGGATAGATGGACTGTAATGGCAAAGGGTAGTCACTCATGAAACATCAGCAAAGGCGCCAGGAGCTAGCCAGTTCAGGCCTCTGGGGAGACTGAGCACCATGATGCAACCAGACTTGGAAGACCCAAAGGGTCAAGGCGTGTGTTAATAGAGTCTTCAACCTCCTGCAAGGTAGGAGACAGCTTTGGCAAGTACCTCCCTGCTGAGTGAGCGAAACATCCTGAAGCTAGGACATGGGAGGGGAAGGTGGCACTTTGATGTCAAAGGATAACCCAGTGATAACCCAGGGGAGAGAGAATTCAAGAGGTCCGGTGCAAGAATACTGGCCCTGGTCCTGGCATATCTTGGTCTCATTGTGGTCCTTGCTTTGACACTGGCTCTTACTATGGATACCAGGGCTGTGCTAGACAATCAGTAGGCTTTGACTGCAGATCCTCAAACTTGGCCACACCTTAAATGATCCAACAGTGATGCCTGTACTCGGTCACCATTTGGAGACATGTTTTATGAAACGGTAGCAAACCCCAGCAGCAGCTGGGAATGTCCTTAAAAACACAGATGCACAATTCCACTTAGACCCAAGCTCTGATCACCCATGGGTACCAGAGTTTCCTATATGCCCACCTGAAGTCATTTGTAAGGTAAAGGAACATCTTCTCTCACTTGAGAAAAATCTAAATGGAATCACTGGTGTGTCTCATGCCTTTCAGAATTCACATGGTTGGAAGTGTGAGTACCAGAGATCAGTATCCACTAGCATCTCTGCCCTTCGACCGTGTGTCAGCACCCGGAGACCAGAGGGTGCTCCCCTGCCCGGTGTGGAGTCCTGCCTCTAAGTCCAAAAAAAAAAAACCCATTTGAAACTCTGAGGCAGCTCAGTATGGGAGAATGGCAGGCCCAGGGCTAGTTTCAAATTGGCCCCGCCTCTGCCTGGCTGGGCAGCTTGCCAACTTTCTGTCTGTTGAATAAAACTGACCTGAGGTAATGACCATGAGGAGATAAGTCATGAGACTGGTTCTCTCCTACCTTTGCATGGTTCCAGTGATTGGACTCTGGTCTCCGGGGTGGAGCAATATCCTTACCATCTTTACGCTCTGCCTGCCCTATATAGTTGGGCTTTATTTTATGATTTAATTCAGGCTGGCTACAGAGGATGAGAGACACCTGGCCTATTATACACATTTTTTTTTTTTTTTAAAGAAGATCTACCTTTTGAGATAAGACAAGAAGATGAATAGTAAAATGCTGAAGACATCATTCTTGCTAGACAAGACAAATTGGCTGGAAAGTCTCCAAACAATTTAGGAAAGCGGTCCAATCTGAGCTAAAACCACAAAAAGTAATGCCTGCTTTTGAAAAGCACTAGTTATCAGCTGAAGTGAGGAGAATTCCTCATCACATTAGTGACAGGCTGAACACATGGGTGAGATCCTGAGAGCGACAGAGCCTCCCAGGAGAGACCTGCATCTACTGAGATGAGACAGGGATGGGGTGGGGAGCAAGGCCATATTCCTGAACAAGACTCAGATTCAAGCCACAAAGTGTAAGGAGTAAGGTTTGTTCGCCTGCCACTGGTCTGATATCGCTGACAGGAGACTGTCTAGGTTGTAAGTTATTTCTCTCTGAATAAACATCTATTCGGCCTATTTGTTTATCCTGATCCTTATTTAACCGCAATAACAAAGCCTCTTTCAAGTTCCAAGAAAACCTCCCTGGGGCCTGGGGAGATGGCTCCATGGGTAAAGTACCTGCTGCATAGGCAGGAGGACCTGAACTAGATCCCTAGGTCTCACCCTAAAGAGGGAGCAGGGTGATGTGCTCCTGCAATTCCAGCCTGAGGAAGTGCAGACAGAGGCATCCCAGGGTTCATGTGTCAGCCAGCTTAGACTAAGTCTCAGGCCATGGGAGATTCTATCCCCAAACAAGGTGGATGGCTCCTGAGGAATTCAGCTGAGGTTGTGCACACAGCCTCTCTCTCTCCTCCCATCCTCTCCTCCTCCTCTCCCCACATTCCTTCACTGGATATACAGAGAAGGGGGGATGGGAATCAATAGACATTTTGCCAAGTACATTGATAATTAAAAATATGCTGTCATAAAATTTTAGGAAAGGCTAGCAACAGGAGGATCTGACCCACAAGATATTGAAGCTGGCTGTTTACTCTCATCTTTTTTGAGGGGCCCACCACCCAGCTCCCAAATAACTCACACACAGAGGCTTATTTTTATGCCTGGCCTTAGCTTGGCTTGTTTCTTGCCAGCTTTTCTTAAATTATCCCGACTACCTTTTCCCTTTGGGCTTTTATCTTTCTTACTTCTGTGTATCTTACTTTCCTTCTTTCTCGGTGGCTGGGTGGCTGGCTGGGTGGCTGGGTGGGTGGGTGGCTGGCTGGGTGGCTGGCTGGGTGGCTGGGTGGCTGGCTGGGTGGCTGGGTGTCTGGGTGGCTGGCTGGGTGGCTGGCTGGGTGGCTGGCTGGGTGGGTGGCTGGCTGGGTGGCTGGCTGGGTGGCTGGGTGGGTGGCTGGGTGTCTGGGTGTCTGGGTGGCTGGGTGGCTGGCTGGGTGGCTGGCTGGGTGGCTGGCTGGGTGGCTGGCTGGGTGGCTGGCTGGGTGTCTGGGTGGCTGGCTGGGTGGGTGGCTGGGTGGCTGGGTGGGTGGCCCCTGACGTCCCTCTCTCCTTGTTCTCTTGCTGCTCTCCTCCTTTCTTGTTTCTCCTTCTATTTATCGTCTTTGCCTGCCAGCCCCTCCTATTCTTGCTCCTGCCTCACTACTGGCCATTCAGCTCTTTATCCAACCATCAAGTGTTTTAGACAAAGCAAAGAATCATAGCTTCACCGAGTTAAACAAATGCAGCATAAACAAAAATCACACACCTTAAATCAATATCCCTGGACAGCTTGCTGTAACCATGATCTAGAGAGAGTCATGGAGCTCGGCTGAGACTCCAGCTGTGTTGCTGGGCAAAGGCTCTGCCCACCTGGGATGAGACTTCAGCCCCCTCCCTAAAGTATTTTAATCAAGAGGCCGCTGTGTCACAGCACTAGACAGCTGAGTGGCTGTCTTACAAAGATGGCCCCTGTGAGGGGCAGAGCCCAAGCAAGATGCAGCTCGCCAGTTTCATCAGAGAGACTCCTCTCCTGGAGCACCAACAGCAGACAGTGAGCCAACCTGGTTTCTGCCTCAGCAAGTGGAAGCCCCCTGCCCAGCCTCAGGGCCTGCAGCCAGCTGTGTTGACTGTTTTCTGCCCCTCACAAACCCCAACAGCTCAGTCCCATTCTACCTCTATGGGAAAGTCTCTTGTGCCTATGTTTGGGCATGCTCCCCAGAGGTGGCACTTTTCTAGAAGTGACTATCCCCAAGGCCAGACCCTCGAGGGCTCCACAGAGCCCCCAGGCCAAGGGCCAGCTCACTCGCCCTGCTGCTACTTACAGGACACTACAGGTGCAGCACTGCCCAGGGAACCTGTGTACTCTCTCTCCCCAGCCCTCCTCCCGTCTGTCCCCTCCCCTGCTGGTTTCTTGTCACACTTCTCTCCGACCTCCACACTCCCTTTTGCTTTCTCACTCTGACAGATGGACTTCACAGAGAGCAAGGGTTCCAGTCCTCTGTCTCCTGGGGAGTGAGTCCCCAGGGGTCAAGGGAGGTGGGACCGAGCAACAAATGGCAGACACACAATGAATGATGTCAGTGTTGCCAGGGGTATAATGAGGGAGGGGGCAGGATTCTGCCTGCACTGAGTGGTAGTCGTGAATCAACTGCACACGCAGAAATGGGAATGACAGCAAGCTTCACTTTAGCTAACCATGAACTCTGATCATCTATCTCCACGTGGAGAGGAGGAGGAGCTTTATGGAACCAGAAAGCATCTTTGTGGTCAACTCAGCCCTGGCTCTTTTGGCAGTCCCCTTAGAAAACAAAGGAGAGAAAATTAGCAGATTTATAAAACAAAGCATTGGCAATAACAACCTCAGACACATGGTTAGGGAGAATGTGCTATTTTTATAGATGGGCTACAGTGCAGCTGCTAGAAGGTTCCAAGGGAAAACTTAACCAGAAAGCATCAGCAATGGAGAAGGAGGAATGGAGAAAGACCACAAAGTGGTTGCATTAGGGATGGTTACACCTGCACACACCTGTGCATACCATAATCAACACATGCCCCACACGTCTGTAGTCTGAGGGGTGGTGACAAGGCAGGATGCTGACCAGACTCACGCACGCCATCTCTGATATTGATCCAGTTCCCCTGCTGTCCATGTGTGTGTCTCCATCCAGAAAGTAGTGGTCAGAGTGAGTCCCAGAGCCCGAGGCGTGGGTGCAACTCCTGCCTGGGCCATCCACTCCGGGTGAATCAGCCATTCACAGTGGGCAGAGATTGGGATAGGTGGCACACCTACTTCACCTGGAGACCAAGGTAAGGAATGGCTCTCCAGGCTCTGCTCACATGGAGTG